ATTTACTATCAAACTGGTATTCCTCCTAGCCCTTACTTTGGCTCGCAGGCTGAGTGAGATAGCAGCTTTTATGGCCTCACCGCCCTATACAGTTTTTTCGAAGGAATCAGTGACACTGAGGACCCATCCAGCGTTTATTCCAAGGGTTTCCTCTGAATTCCACATAAACGAGCCGGTAGTTTTGCCATGTTTCTTTCCGAAACCCCATACCTCAACGCAAGCAGCACAGTTGCATACGTTGGATGTGAGAAGATCCTTAGCGTTTTACATTGACAGAACACGGGATTTTAGGAAGACAGACCGTTTGCTAGTATCATTAGCGCGCCATTCGAAAGGGCAACCGCTAACTTCTCAGCGTATCTCGAAACTGATAGTTTCATGTATATCCATGTGCCATTCGTTACGGGGGAAGCCTCTCCCTTCTCTTCCCAAAGCTCATTCAACTAGGGCAGTTGCTACTACTATGGCCTTCCTCAATGGAGTGTCCTTTCGTGACATTTTGCAGAGCGGCAACATGGTCTTCTAATGTGACTTTTATGAAGCACTACGCTATAGTCGATCAGTTTGCTTCAGATTTTTCTGTGGCTACAGCAGTACTGAATCGTGCTGGTAGTCTTGATTCCGGAGCGCTCTAATTCTGTTCTGTGTACTGCTCCGGAATCACCTAGAGTGGAGCACCCACGAGGCCACTCGAAGAAGAAAAGGAAGTTACTCACCCTGTGAAGTAACGATTGTTCTTCGAGATGTGCCCTGTGGGTGCTCTACGACCCGCCCTTCCTCCCCGTTCCGGAATTTTCTTCTTAATTTTTTCTTTCAGATGAGCGGGTGAGAGAAACTGACGGTTGCCGGCTCGCGCACGGCTAATCAAAGGCGCGAACGCTGTCCTGGTGAACTACGCATGCGCGAGCCGGTGGAACACGGCTATGAAAAGTCTCCGAGCCGCGGCACCGGGACGGGACCCGACACCTAGAGTGGAGCACCCACGGGGCACATCTCAAAGAACAATCGTTACTTCACAGGGTGAGTAACTTCCTTTTACTTTCCTTCAGTCATTTGGTTCTTCGAGATGGTCTATCCACATGGATCCCACACGAGGTACATAAACACCCTGTGTGCCTGAGACTGGATTCTTTGCTCATTCCATGTTCATTAGGGCTATTAAAGTACCCTGGGTATCCACGAGCCCTTCATTTGAGGACATAAATGGCAGTGCAGCCCCATCTTCCACTTAGTTCTTTCACCAATACAGAATCCCAAGTTTAAAGGACTCTGCATTAGTGAGATAGAAGGCAGATTATGGGATCCATATGTAGAAAACATCTTGAAGAACCGGTTACTCTAATGTTAGTAATCATTTTTTCTTCTCCAGGTATTTTTTCATACAAATCTCACTCTGATTGGCATGTAATGGGTACTCTAAATTGGTGAGTGCTAGATCCTATCTAAACAAAGACTGTAAAACTACCCTGCCAAATTGGGTGCCAGATCTAAAGGCTGATTTAAGAAATGAATATATTGTAAAGATATGTACTGAGCTTCACATAAGAGATCTACAGACTTCAAGGACCGAGATTGTTATTGACCAAGGAAGCTGTCTAAGCTCTAGTTTATTGTGAGCTGGTAATATTTATTGTAAATTCAAGAGAGTTAGGAAATGCCAGAATAAGGTCAACCATTCAGCCTTAATTTGTCTTCCTTTTGAGTATGCATGTCGGGGGGCTCGCCCCTGTCTTGGGGTTGCCCCCTCCATCCGGCGCCTAACTCGGCCCGTCTGGGCCTAGCCCTCAAAGTACACTGCCCCTCTCGTAGGGGAAATACGGCCCACCGGCCTAGTCCCAAAGTACAATGCCCCTGTGCTAGGGGAAATACGGCCTCCCGGCCTAGTTCTCAGTTTGCAGGCCCGGAGGCCTAGTCCACAATTTGCAGGCCCAGAGGCCTAGTCCACAGTTTGCAGGCCCAGAGGCCTAGTCCACGGTTTGCAGGCCCAGAGGCCTAGTCCACAGTTTGCAGTTTGTTACCCTGCTCCCACGTGTCAGGGTCTCAGGCAGCAGGGGTAGGGGGGTCCGGGCCCTCCCTCTCCACCGTCCTCCCCTTTGCTCGCAGCCTGCCGCGGTCCCACCTGTCGGCGCCGGTCGATGGGCTGTAGTGGTCCTCCCCCCGGCAGCTGCAGAGTTGGCGGAGTCCGGTCCAGCACTCGGGTCGCGGGTGGTCGGTCGGCGGCTCCGGCGTTGGGGCCGAGCCCGGCAGAGGCCCGGCAGCAGCACGCTCAGCTCCCCTGGCGACTCCCTCTCTGGCCAGTGGTCGCTAGCTCCTGCTCGGGTCGCAGTCTGCCCTTTCTGAGCAGGCCAGCAGCCTTTTATACCTTGGCTCCCTTTGGAGCATGCCCAATAGGGCTGTGTGGGTGGGGCCCTCTTCGCCCCAGGCCCCAGGTGGTTTCCCTGGGCTTGAGTGCGGGGCGGGGCCGCCCCGTCACAATGCATTATAATACAGTCTTTAAATTATATGACCATGTACTATTTTTTCCTCACAGGATCTCTCTCATTGCACATGATGGACCTGCTTTGGGAATATATCGCAGTTGCATAGTGAAGGAAACTTGTCTGTAGAAACCTTCGTTCATTTATTACAGAATTTGGAATGTCTGCAGAAAAGAGGCAGGAAACTGCAGGAAGAGAAAATATAGGTTCATTTTTAAGGGAGTGGAATGATACCCTGTAAAACTGGATTTGACTCCTGCTTCTGACTGAGTTCCTTTGTGAAGCTGAATAAGTCACTTAAACCAAATTTGTTACAGGAAATCATTAATTGTGCATTCCTCCTTTTCTGGGTGTGTGACTGGGTGTGTGACTCTTGATCTCATTTGCAGATGTGCTGAATACTCATAGTTGTAACTAAAATCAGTAGGAACTATGCTTTGAACACAAAGTGTAATAAAATGTTAAGTCTCTTGAAAATTCTAGATACTTCAAATTGAGTGCCCATAATTAGTGTACACTTTTGACATTAATGTCACTATCAGTCTGCTCCCATTCTGTAAAATGGGGCTAATAATTAGTATCCTACCTCACAGATGTAGTGAAAATAAATTCATTAAGATTTGTGAAGTATTCAGATGCTATAGGGATGAGTGCCATTATATGAGGAAATAAACCAATTCAGTATTCAGTAGAGGATTGGAATAGTACAAAATCACGGGGTGACACTGTCATGAACAGAAGGAGTGCTGACCAGCACCCAGTGGCTAAGGGGTTAATTCAGGTACCTAGCAAAGGTGTTGGCCGGGGGCCAGGAGAACCAATCAAGATAGAGGATCGAATTTGAATTGGATATAGGTTGTGGTTTGGTTTGAACTGCTCTGAGTGATTCTGTGTCTCTCCTTCCCCTTTATCATCTAAGTATTGTGCCAGAATTTTTTTTATTTTCTGTTTTAATTTGTTTTCCTTAGTTGCTCTGTAACACCTAGCAATCAAGTATGCTTTATCAAGTTTATCTTTTGTTTTGTAATAAAAATCACTTCTTTTAAGGTGATGATTTGATTCTTGTGTCCTCGAAGGTCTGTCTGTGTATATCTGCATGCCTCTGACTAAGGAGTCAGCTACCAGAGAGTGCAGCTTGTTTTTCTCTTTTCTTTTTTGCAAGCTCTTTTGGGGCAAAAGATGTTGGGGTACCCTTGGGGTGATTTCAAGTTTTTGCCTCCAGTTTTAGGTCCCTTCCAGTTCTAGTGTTCTATGATTCATATTAGGAATGTAAAATTCTGTTTACTGATTAATTAGTTAAATGATCAGTTTGAGATGTTAACTGATTAAACGAGGGGTGGGATGTATGGTGGGAAGAGGATACAGAAGCCCTTCACACTATGGATGGGATCTGCTCTGTCTGGGCTGGAGTGTCTCTGCCCACAGATGAGGGCTGCTCCAGCCAGGTTGGAGTGCCCCCCGCCTACAGCAGGCCCCACAGGGCTGGAAGAGCACTTTCCAGTTAACAGGTTAACCATTAACATCCCTAAAACACATAAGACAGATGAAATAAGTTTTGGTGGGTGGCCTTAAATCTGGCATTTCCTAACTTTTTGTGCTTGACTTCACAACCATAATGTTCTTTTATGTATTTGTGTGCATGGAATATATAGATCAGTTGTAAAGTCCAAACAATTATATCCCCCTTGTTCAGACCAGTGTCTAAATGAAGGCAGTACTTCCATGAAAATCAGATTCTAAAATAAAAAAAAATTCTCAGGTCAAGGTAAAAGTGTTCAGAAATATGGAAGGTAGTGACCAGATGCAGAAATGCATGAGCAGACCCTTCCCAGACAATGATGCCAACAGAGTTGGAACTGAAAATATTGAAGTAGAAGCTGCAGATAAAGAGAAGAAGAAACACCATGAGAAACACAAGAAACAGACTGCAAGAGGAGATTCAGTGGGTGTGAACACAAGCTGTGATTGAAGTGATGAGTAAAGGCCTCCATAGACTGTTAGTTCATAAAATTCCCGCATATTTGAAAATTATATTGCAGTTAGTAGATAGGGATGACTTGTCTTCAAGTTTTTTCTGGTGCGGATGACATTTGTATCTATGCAAAAACACAAAAGACCTTATAGGTTTGTAACATCAGCTTTTTACCTTTGGTAGAAGAATCCCCCCTATCTTCCCTTTAAAGGCAATTATAAATCCCTCTTGTGACATTGAAGCAGTGCAAAAGGGACTTAGCCCTTGCCAAGGATCTGGCCCACATACTCCATATATATGAGTGTATGTAAAAATTTCAAATGTTAAGGCAAAAAAGGAAAACCGAGAACACTGATCAAACCCAATTGCATTCAGATATTACATCTGCTAATGAAAAAGCTTAAGCAGCTGGTGCCTTGAAATATTATTTGTTTCCAATAACATCCACAATGTTCTAACACTTTCCAAACACAAAAGAAGGCGGATATTCTGCCCCAAAGAGCTTAACATTATCATAGTTCTCTTAAAACCAACCAGCCAACCAACCTTACCTGTTAGAGCATCTACACTGCTTTCATCCAACTCCATGGCTTTCTTATACCATACAGAAGCATCTTGCCACTTCCCCTGAAGAATTAGTTGATATCCTAGCTCATTAGCAAAACATGCATCTGAAGACTTTAATTTTGTATATGAGTGTTCAATAAATCCATATATTAACTGCAAGATTTGCTGATTCTTCCCACACTGAAAATAACAAAATGAGATATTCTAGATAATAGTTATGCCAAATAACACACAGAGGCAAAAAGAACTATTTGTGCAGTAAGGTTCTACTCAATGTGGGTCAGAGTGGCATGATGAGGCCATAGAAAATAATTCTAATATTAACCATGCAATGTTCCCCAAAGACCTCAAAGAAATTAGAGTGCAGATGAAAAAAAAACCCTCTAATTTAATAGACAGAGCAATTTGGAGATGATTTAAACAAAAAATCTAACACTTTCTCAAGTGAAAACCTACATTGTGAAGAGACATCTCCCTCAGATGGTTTGAACAACTGCACCATAACTTTAGAGAAAAAAAAATAACCTTTCATCAGATGCCACAAAAAACATTTAAGCTAGAAAGGATTTTCTTTTTTGGAGACTGTATCAAAGAGGCCTAGAACAGACCTGTAATGGAAAACTAGCTACAACCCCAATTATGTAGTTGCTTCCACAGACACATAATTCCTATCGGTTTTTAAACAAACAAAAATGCTTACCAATCTACTGACCACAAGAATTTTCCGAAGATGTAAGTCTGCATTTTGAGGTTCCTTAGTCTCCAAAGAATGAATAAAATCTCTAAGTTGAAATGATGCCTGCAGAAAAAAATATTTAATGAATTAATGTATTTATTTCAAAATTAGAGACAATAATAATACTACCATTCTTTACACAAGAATCCTTTGACTGTTAACGAGATAAAATTAATGACAACCAAACAATCTCTGTAGACTGGCTTTGTGTATGGGACTGTGTTGGGATGGAGCATACAATCCTTCACCAGTTGGCATACAAGATACAGAGCAGTTGCACAACCTCTCAGTAGGTGCTACTCAAGCCCCTGGATTTCATAATCATGAACCCACTCTCTTTTGCCTCTTCTTTACTCCAGTCCCTATTCCACAATAGCCTACGCCGGCTATGTCACAGGATAATGATATGAAATCTCCCTGTGATTATTTTGTATGACAAAATTATGACTGTTCAGTTGCATTGTGCTGCTGGATGAATTCTATTCTAATTGCAGGAATTATTTGATCAAGTAAATTAGCATTCTGATTTTCAGAGTACACATATAACAGTTTAGATTACGAACAATAAACTGGCTCATAAGAACATAAGAATGGCCATACTGGGTCAGACCAAAGGTCCACCTAGCCCAGTATCCTGTCTGCCGACAGTGGCCAATACCAGATGCCCCAGAAGAAGGGAACACAATAGGTAATCCTCATGTGATTCCTCCCTCACTCTTCTCTTCTACAGACTAAATAAACTCAAATCCCTCAGCCTCTCCTCATAGGTCATGTGCTCCAGCCCCCTAAACATTTTGATTGCCCTCCATTGGACCCTCTCCAATGCATTCACATCTTTTCTGTAGTGGGGGCCCCAGAATTGGATGCAGATGTGGCCCCACCAGTGCCTAATGAAGGGGAAAAATAACTTCTCGATCTGCTGGCAATGCTCCTCCTAATGCACCCTAATATGCCATTAGCCTTCTTGACCAGAAGGGCACACTGTTCACTCATATCCAGCTCCCCATCCACTGTAATCCCCAGGTCCTTTTCTGCTGAACTGCTGGTTAGCCAGTCAGTCCCCAGCCTATAACAGTGCTTGGGATTCTTCTGTCCCAAGTGCAGGGCTTTGTACTTGGCCTTGTTGAACCTTGTGAGATTTCTTTTGGCTCAATTTCCAATTTGTCTCAGTTGACACTTTAGGTACCTGGAAGGAGTCTAAAGAGTGGATTAACACAGGTGAATTTTGAAGACTGAATTTCAGTATCACATGTTACTGAAAGCATAATATTGATACTGGAGATATAGGGAGATATGCTCTGACAGTTAGGATCCACGGAGTATTGGAATGTCTTCTAGGATTAGAAACTCTTCACACCATTCCTCTTGAAACAAGTGCCATGAGCTCTTTAAGGAGCACAAAAAAATCAAGGCCTCAACTTTATATTTCAAATATGAGTAAATATAGAATACTCACTGCATTCAAATTTCCAGTTCTTGAAAGCTCATTTACAATACTAGCTTGAAGTCCATCTATATTGGTCCCATCTTTACTCAGGATTCTTAAACAATATTTATTGTATGTAAGTTGCATACAAGTTGTACAAAGCAAAACAGAAAACAGTAAATAATTTTTAATAGATTCAGCTTTTTCTCTGATGTTGAAAGATACTCTAGCTATTGAGTGAAAGCTTCATAAATTATACATTTCTACATTTCCAATTGTGTTACAAGGTTAGAGTGAAAAAATTGTGGCTCTAAAGTATCCAAGGGTACATCTATACAGCAAGAAAATCCCCATGACAGTGAGTTTCAGAGCCCAGGTTAAATTAACTTGGACTCACACCACAGGGCGCAATGGTGTGAGCCCAATGTCTACGTGGCTATTCTCAGCTGTATATCACAAGTGCTCCAAGCCTAAGACAGTTGACCTGAGCTCTGAGGCTCACTGCTAAGTTAGGTTTTGTAGCTATGCAGACATAATCTGAGTATTTACACCCTGATATAAGTGACAAATATAGTCCCAGGGAAAACATTTTAATTACCAGGAAACTGTTTAATACCACAAAAAATTTCTGGGACCTCATGAAAGAAAATTGCCCATAATATTTTAAGTTATTAAATGTATTTTGAGGAAATGAACTTTACTCTTACTTTACAGATATATGTGTATAACAGAGGCATGTAACAGAATTTAGAAAGGAAGTTACATATCTCAGTCTGCTCTGGGTTTGTTTTGTTTTTATCATCCCCTACCTTAGTGCAGTTTCTAAAGTTTGCTCCCAATCTTGCTGAGCTAAAAATAGCCTCATCTTGAGGACAAATGCTGGTATGAAACCAGAAAAGTGAACTATTATTTGGTTAACCACTTCCAACGCAGATGAATAATTCTGTTGCATCATGAAATATCTTGCCTATGAAGGAATAAAATAAAAATAATCTCATTGATTCACAAAAGAAGCAGACTGTACTGATATGTTATTGGATATCATTACATTAGTAGTTAATTACTATCTGCTTCCTTATTTAAAAAGACCCATATCACTTATTGTTGTGGCAAATGAAGCCAGCAAGAAGGGGGAATTAAATTAAGTGCCTTCCAGCCCTCCCTATACAGCCATCACAAGACTTACCAGTAAATGTTGTAGAGAACTGAACCTCAGCATCTCATTTCCCATTTCCCACCCACTTTCATGCCAAGACTAGAAAGTAAAGAGACAGAAGGGAGTTAGGCACCGAACCCATTGAGGCTCTTTTTAAAATCTCACGAGGCACCTATCTGCATTGTTAGGTGCCTAAATCCCTTTAAAACTGGGCGTATATTTCTGGAAAGCAACCTAGGGGTCAACAGTTTTATGGATCGGCACAGAAAAAGGAGGTTATCCCATGTCCTCTTTATCTAAAATGAAGTCCAACAGCAAGTGAAATAAAGAAGGAAAGTATAAAAATAGAGTTCAAAAAACAAGAATAAACAACCATACCTTTCCCATCATCCCAAATATATCAGTGGTGTCTTGGATCCCTTCATCTAGGTATTTAATAGATTTTTTAACAGCATGCGGTTTGTCAGATGTACAGTATACCCATCCTTTAAGCACAAGACCCTGTTAAGGTAAAAAAAAAAAATTTTATATTACGCACTAGGCAAATCATAATATGCAGAAAAAAGTCTTAATTTCTTGCTTCAAGTACATTTATATTTGTTTAAATATTTAAATGCAGAAAAATAATAAAAAGACACATCTCACAAACTCTAAGCATCTTTGACTGTAATGCCGGACTTTCAACCATATATAACAATAACTGATAGTCTAATAACAATACCCGGTGGCTGTGTCTACACTGCACCCCTTTTCCAGAAAAGGGATGCAGATTAGACAAGTCGGAATTGCAAATGCAGCGGGGATTTACATTTTCTCCGCTGCATTTGCATGAACATGGCTGCCACTTTTTTCCGGCTTGGGGGTTTGCCGGAGAAAAGCGCCAGTCTAGACGGGATATTTTGGAAAATAAAGCCTTTTCGGAAAGGTCCCTTATTCCTCTTAAAATCAGGAATAAGGGACTTTTTGGAAAAGGCTTTATTTTCCGAAAGATCCCGTCTAGACTGGCGCTTTTCTCCGGCAAACCCCCAAGCCGGAAAAAAGTGGCAGCCATGTTCATGCAAATGCAGCGGAGAAAATGTAAATCCCCGCTGCATTTGCAATTCCAACTTGTCTAATCTGCATCCCTTTTCTGGAAAAGGGGTGCAGTGTAGACACAGCCTGTCTGTAACATTACACCTTAAGCATAAAAGTATCCTCCTCACTAAAATTCAATGAACTTTATGTGCAAGTGTCAGACCAATCAAAAGATGGCCTTTAAGCACAATGAAGTACACCTTTCAATGCCTTACCTTGATTATAAAATGAAGTTTTGTTATTACTGACAGAATAAAAATGACAGACCAAGACTCAAACATTATCAAAGTCAATATTCTGGCAATTATTTAAATCAGCCATTGCACACAAAATTTGTTAAAAGGGACAAATTGTTAAAAGGGACAAATTTCCATTACATGCATCTGACGAAGTGGATCTTTGCCCACGAAAGCTTATGCTCCAATACATCTGTTAGTCTATAAGGTGCCATAGAACTCCTTGCCGCTTTTGCAGATCCAGCTACGCCTCTAATACATTGTTAAAAGCGTCATCTTCCAATGACAATGTACATGGATGTAACCAGGAAAACACAAAATTGTTGTCTTAGCCATTTAACAGGGAGTCAAAAGGAACACATTTTTAGTGTGCAACACATTGATAGATGAGAATTTTCAGAAAAACATCCCAAAAAGTATATTGAAAAATTTGACTAGATTTGTCATTCATAGATGTTGCTGTGCATCTGTCAAAACTTCAATACAGTAAACTTCCGATAATCCGGCACCTTTAGGACCCAGGGAGTGCCGGATTATCAGATATGCCGGACTATCAGAAGGGGGGGATATGAGGGGTCTGGAGTGGGGTGGGAGGGGATGCCACCTCAGACCCCTCATAGCCCCCCCTTACGATAGACCGGCTCTGCCCCAGGCGTCCCTGATTCAGCTCCTGCTGGTCAGTTTCAGCAGCAGCTGAATCGGAGATGCCTGCAATAGAGCATCTGGGGTGCTGCCGGGTTGGTCCCGCAGCACCGAGGGGTGGCGCTATGGCACCAACCCAGCAGCACTCCAGTTGCTCTTGGGGACGCCTGGGGCAAAGCAGCTGGGGTGCTGCCGGGTTGGTCTCATAGCGCTGCCCCTCGGGGCTGTGGGACCAACCCAGCAGCACCCCAGCTGCTCTTGGGGATGCCTGGGGCAGAGCAGCTGGAGTGCTGCCAGGTTGGTCCCGCAGCGCCAAAGGACGGTGCTGCGGGACCAACCCGGCATTTTGTGCTGGCCGGCGGGGCTGACTGGGGATGCCTGGGGCAGAGCAGCTCGGGTGCTGCCAGGTTGGTCCGGTAGCGCTGCCTCTTGACGCTGTGGGACCAACCCAGCAGCACCCCAGCTGCTCTGCCCCAGGTGTCCCCAAGAGCAACTGAGGTGCTGCCGGGTTGATCTCGCACAGCCGAGGGGCGGCGCTATGGGACCAACCCGGCAGCACCCCAGCTGCTCTGCCTCAGGTGTCCCCAAGAACAGCTGGGGTGTTGCCGGGTTGGCCCCGCAGCTCCGAGGGGCAGCGCTATTATGGGACCAACCAGGCAGCAACCCAGCTGTTCTGCTCCCAGCTTCCCCGATTCAGCTGCTGGTCAGTTTCAGCAGCAGCTGAATGGGGGAAGCCTGTCCGGTTGCCCCAGCACTTCCGGGTTCCTGATGGTGCCGGACCATCAGGAGTCCCGGAGCATTGGATGCCGGACTAATGGAGTTTTACTGCATATGAATTATCCCAAGCTTGTGGCCTTTGTTTACATGTGACTGATGTGACCTGCCTGTCTTAATTTTTTGCATTTTCAATATCACTTCTGTAGCCAGACTGCTTTCTTCTGGAATGAAATCCATGGGGAGAATTCAATAGAAGCAAAAATCTTGAGTCTTCCTGGCTTCCTTTCCTCAATTTTTTTTTCCATCAGTGTGGGGTTTGCCTCTCTATAGTACAGGCTATTATACAGTCCCAGAAATTGCACAGATTCCAAGGTAATCTGCATAAAGGCTATGTAATTATGGCCTGAATGTGTGTCCAATTATATTAAGTAACTTTATTTATGTCAATGGGGTTACCTCACATTTAACAATAGAAACTGGCCTACCATGGCATACTTATGTGATAGTTGTCTTAATTCAGAGCCATGATGAAACAATTTGCTTTATTCCTTTCAAGTCAGTAACATCATACACTAGTATTTGACCATCTGTGTACTGTGAAAAGTGCTTCATCAGTTTTTACAACTAACATGTTTGTACACAGTAGAAATGCTTTTGTACACAGTGTACACAAATGTAGTAAAGCCAGTGGCATTTTCACCATGGAAATTCACCATGTAGTTATATTCCTTTGGGAGAAAGAAAATCCAACCCTTGCCCCCCTGAAAACCTCGCCTGACACCAACCCTAGGAGTTTAGGTGTCCAGACATCCTGGAAGCTGTAGGTGGAAGAAAAGTACGGCTGGAAATCAACAGAGAACATGGAAGGAGGGAGTGGTTTGTGGGAGCCTGATCCTGAGTCAGCAGCTGATTCCAGGAAGCCAGAGGAACTTTTCCATTGGGCCAGAGGAGCAACTATAGGTGTTACGGGTGTGAGGAGCTGAGCCATATAGCAGCTCAATGCCCCACTTCCGCATATGATCCCTCTCAGTACCTTTCCTTTGGTACCTTTGCAAATCTGTCCTGCTTCTCCATGTCACTCTGCTTTGCTTGCAACCCTCAGCTCATGCACAGTACACCTTCTCATCCTCAGATCTTGGGCTGCTGCCCTCCATGAAGGGAGACCTTATAAACAAACGCCAGCATATCTTCAAGGCACCTGCAGTCCCTTGATTAGTCTGCTGCTTCTGGCAAGCTCTTAATTGGCCTCAGGCACCTGCCTGATTATGCTGCACTAGGCTTGTTCCTGTTTACTCAGGGAAGAGGAAACTGTATACCCAGAGCCCAGCTACCTTCCCTCCATCAGAGTGCACCAATCAGCTGGTCTGGATCTGTCACACTATCTAAATAAAATTGTGATCACATTTAATTTTATACATTAAGAACTTCAGCCAGAAATCTGTCTTATTGGTTAAAAACCTTTGTATACATTACCTCTCTAGATCCATTAGACATTTTCAGCATTCGGTCAATGTATTCATTTGCTTTATCATTTTTACCCATTAGCCACAGAAACATTCCTGCATAATATAATGCATTAATTCCTGCAGTCTTTCGGGTTTCCTTTAATTTGTTTTCCAGCTCCAAAACAGCATCACGATCTGAAAGCAAATATCCCAACCAAAAATGTTTAAAACATGTATTGAACACACATAATTACAAAATATGGTATGATATGGTACTTGGTAGCCAAATGAACCAAAGGACCCAATCTTGCAAACTCTTATACCAGGGGTGGGGAAGCTCCTGCCACATGTGGTTCATCAGAGTTAGCCACTAGTGGGGGGGCAGGTGGTCTGTTCACTTGAGCTTCCACTGGCATGGAGCCCAGCTCTCTGTTCCTCACTCTTCTCTACCCTTGACTCTTTTGCCCCACACTCCCTATGAAAGGTTTCCCTTGCTAGCCCCCATTCCTGGCTCGTCTCCAACAACTACTGCCTATAGTCTTGCTTCCCTGCTGTGAAGAGTCTCTGGCAAAAATGCCATGACAAGAGCCAGCTAGAAGAGACTCACTACTCTGTCCTCAGCAGGGAGCTGCTTCTGTAGCTGACAGAGAAGTGCTCTCCCCCAGCCAGACAGCACCATGCCCAGCAGCCCTGTGGGTAGGGCTCATTAAGCAGCTCTAGGGCTAAGCTGCCATGCAGTTTACAGGGATCCTTTGTCACCTTCCATTTGAACCACTCTCTAAACTCTAATCTCCACTAGGGAGTTATTTCAAATAATAAGAGAAGCATCCACACTACCAAGCCCATTATTTCAAAATAATGGGCTAGTTATTTCGAAACAACTCCTGCTTTCCACGAGGAATAACACTATTTTGAAATAGTTATGGGGCAACCAGTTTTTAAGCCAACTTCCCCCAGCATCGGCTTCTGCTCTTCCCCTTGCTGCCTCTGATAGTTGCTCGACTAGTTGCTTACATCCCTAGTATGGACATTCCACCGCTGCTATTTCAAAATAGCTACTTACCAGGGTCATTCAGAGTAATAACTTCCCAGTGTTTTCTGGGCCTTTCAGTCAAGGTAGCACATCCACATTAAAGGAGCCTGCCTTGGACTAATTCCGAGGCTTCTCTGTAGTGTGGTCACACTATTTTGAAATAGTTATTTTAGGAGTTATTTCATTTCAAAATAATTTCTTAGTGTAGATATGCCCTAAATCCAGGCAATGTCATCCAGGCAATGTCAAAATATTTATGGTTTTTCTGCATATCGTTTCTAAGACATGGTCCTATCCCATCCACACAGCTGCAAATCTCACCCAGATTCTCATCCTCTCACATGTCAACAACTATAGTATATTTTTCCTCTGACCTTAACAAATGCAATCTTCCCCACTGATATATATTCAGAGTATTGATATAAACTGAACCTCTTTAGTCCAACAACATCCATGGTTCCACATAATTTTAGTTAGGTGCATATCCAGTTATCATAGGTGTGGCCAAGTATCCTGCAGTCCCATAAAGTTTATTTACAACCACAGTCTTGGCTCTCAGTGTTCGTTGCTGTTATTTAGCTCTAATTTACCATTAAATGTCTTCAAAGAGTCCAGTAAGCAGTGGAAGTGTTGGTAATGCTGCTAGACAATATTGACCTCCTGTGGTTCGGCACTGGTCAGGTCCCGAGGGTGCTTAATGAGAGAGGTTCAACTTATACAAAGATCATTTTCTTATTCTGTTGATTTTGACCATGTTACCCCTCTCTTTGCATGCCATCTCTCTCTCTCTCTCTCTTTCTTTCTCCTCTCTATCATAACAAACATAAGATAATCTGTATTCATTTTAAGGCCCTTCATGACTTATTCCCCACTCTATCATCTTTTATTCAGTACTGAAAGGTCGACTACCCCCTCTAATGAGCCATAATGTCAGCCTCCATAACTCCCTTGCTACAAACAAACACCTTTGTGCTTTCTCCTATGTTGTTGCTCATGCTTAGCAGAAGCTACCCAAAAGCATCTACAAAACTCACTCATTGAAACCCTTCATCTCCTTCGAGGCCTGCAAAAAAATTTGACAGTGTTTAGGTTGCTGGTGTGCTAAAAGCACGGCCCATAAGGCTGACCAATATTTTCTCATTGTTTACTTGAACTCCTCTGTCTGTCCATCTATTGTTTCTTGTCTTATATTTAGAAAGCAAGCATTTTGGGGCAGAGACTGTATCTTGTTCCATGTCTGTACAGCACCTAGCACAGTGGAGCATTGGTCCATGACTGGGACTTCCAGACTTTTCAATAATGCAGATAATCATAATTAATAATATTAAAATATTCCACAGTATGTTTTGAAAAGTAATACAGCTGTTGTAATAATACTTATAGGAATATGAGACCACCTAACTGCATACTGCTATGAAATCTCTGCTGTCAGATTAAAATAATGATTTGGGGGATAATTATTATTTTGGTTACTAATAAACTGATAATCAGAGAGGTTCTACTATAATATTGATATAGCACTTTTTATCCTCAAGGATCCCAAAATACTTTATTAACTACTTTCATATGGCAATTATATAGCTTTGTAAGGTATCATTCAGAGCACATATATTTCTGCAAAAATACTCTCAGACCCTTTTCCCCCTATGATCTTCATTTGACCAAAATATATGACTGCAGCACAAGAAGTGCCCCAAGATTTGGTGGTGATGGGGGACTTCAACTATCCAGACATATGTTGGGAAACTAACACAGCGAGGCACAGGCTATCCAATAAGTTTCTGGACTGCATTGGAGACAACTTTCTGTTTCAGAAGGTTGAAAAAGCTACCAGAGGAGAAGCTGTTCTGGATTTGGTTTTAACAAATAGGGAGGAACTAGTTGAGAACTTGAAAGTGGAAGACAGTATAGGGGACAGTGATCATGAAATAATAGAGTTCATGATCTTAAGGAAAGGTAGAAGGGAGACCAGCACAATTGAGGTTATGGATTTCAGGAAGGCAGATTTTGATAAGCTCAGAGAACTTGTAGGTAAGGTCCCATGGGAAGCAAGACTGAAGGGAAAAACAACTGAGGAGAGTTGGAAGTATTTCAAAGGGACGTTGTTAAGGGCCCAAAAGCAAACAATTCCGCTGTGTAGGAAAGATAGAAAATATGGCAAAAGACCAGCTTGGCTTAACAAGGAGATCTTGCATGATCTCAAAATAAAAAAGGAGTCATATAAAAAATGGAAACTAGGACAACTAACAAAGGATGAATATAGGCAAGCAACACGGGAATGCAGGGGCAAGATTAGAAAGGCAAAGGCACAAAATGAGATCAAACTAGCTACAGGCATAAAGGGAAACAAGAAGACCTTTTATAAATACATTAAAAGCAAGAGGAAGACCAAGGACAGGGTAGGCCCACTGCTTAGTGAGGAGGGAGAAGCAGTAACAGGGAACTTGGAAATGGCGGAGATGCTCAATGACTTCTTTGTTTCGGTCTTCACCGAGAAGTCTGGAGGTGTGCCTAACGTAGTGAATACAAGCAGAGAGAGGGTAAGTTTAGAAGATAGGATACACAAAGAACAAGTTAAAAATCACTTAGGAAAGTTAGATGTCAGCAAGTCACCAGGTCCTGATGAAATGCATCCCAGGATACTCAAGGAGCTGATAGAGGAGGTATCTGAGCCTTTAGCTATGATCTTTGAAAAATCATGGCAGACAGGGGAGATTCCAGAAGACTGGAAAAGGGCAAATATTGTGCCCATCTATAAAAAGGGGAATAAGAACAACCCAGGAAATTATAGACCGGTCAGTTTAACGTCTGTCCCAGGGAAGATAATGGAGCAGGTAATTAAGGAAATCATATGCAAACACTTGGAAGGTAATAAAGTGATAGGGAATAGCCAGCATGGGTTTGTGAAGAACAAGTCATGCCAAACTAATCTGATAGCTTTCTTTGATAGGATAACGAGCCTTGTGGATAAGGGAGAAGCGGTGGATGTCATATACCTAGACTTTAGTAAGGCATTTGATACGGTCTCGCATGATATTCTTATTGATAAACTAGGCAAATATAACTTAGATAGGGCCACGATAAGGTGGGTGCATAATTGGCTGGATAACCGTAGTCAGAGAGTTGTTGTTAACGGTTCTAAATCCTGCTGGAAAGGGATAACAAGTGGAGTTCCTCAAGGGTCTGTTTTGGGACCCGTACTGTTCAATATCTTCATCAATGATGTAGATATTGGGATAGAGAGTACTCTTATTAAGTTTGCAGATGATACCAAACTGGGTGGGGTTGCAACTTCTTTGGAGGATAGGGACATAATTCAGAATGACCTTAGCAAGTTAGAGAAATGGTCAGAGGTAAACAGGATGAGGTTTAATAAGGAGAAATGCAGAGTGCTCCACTTAGGAAGGAACAATCAGTTCCATACATACAAGATGGGAAGCGACTGTCTAGGAAGGAGCATGGCGGAAAGGGATCTAGGGGTCATAGTGGACCACAAGTTGAATATGAGTCAACAGTGTGATGCTGTTGCCAAAAAAGCAAATATGATTCTAGGTTGTATTAACAGGTGTGTTGTAAGCAAAACTCGTGAAGTCATTCTGCCGCTCTACTCTGCGCTAGTTAGGCCTCAGCTGGAGTACTGTGTCCAGTTCTGGGCGCCACATTTCAAGAAAGATGTGGAGAAATTGGAAAGGGTACAGAGAAGAGCGACAAGAATGATTAAAGGTCTAGAGAAGCCTATGAAGCCAGGCTTCATGAACTGGGCTTGTTTAGTTTGGAAAAAAGAAGATTAAGGGGGGACATGATAGTGGTTTTCAAATATCTAAAAGGGTGTCACAAGGAGGAAGGTGAAAATTTGTTCCTCTTGGTTTCTGAGGACAGGACATGGAGTAATGGGCTTAAAGTGCAGCAGGGGAGGTTTAGATTGGACATTAGGAAAAAATTCCTAACTGTCAGGGTGGTCAAATATTGGAATAAATTGCCAAGGGAGGTGGTGGAATCTCCCTCTCTGGAGATATTTAAGAACAGGTTAGATAGACATCTGTCAGGGATGGTGTAGACGGAGCTTGGTCCTGCCTTGAGGGCGGGGGGCTGGACTCGATGACCTCTCGAGATCCCTTCCAGTCCTATGATTCTATGACTGCTCATTTGGTCAAATTTCTGATTTTTGTCAGTTTGTGATGAATGACATTTAATACTCAAGAAAAACTCACCAACATTTTCACATATTTTGTGTGCATAAATGAGTGCCAAAAGGCAACATAATGAAACATCAGAGTGGCACTTCCTGGCATCTTCTAGCTGTAAGATTGCATCTTGTATTTGACCTGAAAAGGCAATATATATGATTCATTAATTCTCACGTTTTAATGATCACTCAAAGAATTTGATATATACGTAGTTAAGAGACTCAGGCTAGCTGAGCAGGACATTTTAATTCAGGGCTGGGCAATAATTTTTGAAAGGTAACAATTAATTAATTTTGGTATGTGTTCACGGGCCAGCTCCACCCTTGGAAGGAGCAGGACTTGGGTGGAAGATGTGCAGCTAGGGACTAGCCTCCCCCCAGAGTTGTCTGGGGCTGGAGGCTTTGAATTAAAAACACAGCAAAGGGCTTGTGGTTTTGGTCCCTGCGAGGGTAGTGCCGCGACCAGGAACCATGAGGCATTACAATAGAATCTTGCTGCCTGAGTCACTACCTGGCAATTTGGTGGCACAGGCACCAAGATATAAATAGAAAGTGGACAGATGGAGTCCACGGGCCAGATCAAAGTGTTAGGCTGGCCAGATGTGGCCCCAGGAGGCATCTTGTCCAGCCCTGTTTTAATGACATGTCCTTAGTACTGGGGCTATCTTGTTTCTATCTCTATATTTAGTACATATGCTAGCTTTGGGATCATTGGAACATTGAAGAATAATGGTCTATGGGGTACATTACGTGATCCAGATTCATTATTAGCCTGGTTTGCTGTTTACTTCTGGTGGAATTCTGCATCATTGTGGAGAATTTCATGTTGTGCATGCAGAATTCTCTTTCCCCCCACAGAAATGGGCTGCAGTCTGACTAGCAAACACTAGGGGCTACTGAACTTGGCAAAACCCTGTTTGCACACAGAAGACACAAGGGGTGATGGGGTGGTGGGAGAGAGAGTTAGAGCAGGGATGGGGAACCTATGACAAAAAATTAAAAGGCAGAAGTAGTATAATCCATTATAGTCCATTTTGAAACTATAGAATAAAAAACACTGGTGGGAGGGAAAGTAAGTTCAATTGTTGCTTTTCCTTACCAATATAACAGTCAATTCTTCTTTGTATTTACCTAAATGTAAGGTTCCATATGCCTTGAAAAACTGAAACACTGGATCATTGATGTATTTTTCCAGTTCTAAATTTGCAAATTGCCTTACATGGTTGAAATATTTTTCTTGAGCATAGTATATAATATAAGCCTGGAGGAAGGAAGAGAGCAAGAAAATTTATTTTTATTTAAGTAACTGTGTTCTTTTTTGATTTGCAAAATGTATGAAATGAGGAAATTCTTTCATTAAAGAATGGCAGGTGCTGCTGATTATTTATCATATTATGATCCTTAATTGATAAACTGAAAACCAGATATTAAGTATAATTATTGGCTACATCTAGACTGGCATGATTATCCACAAATGCTTTTAACGGAAAAGTTTTCTGTTAAAAACATTTGCAAAAAAGAGCGTCTAGATTGGCACGGACGCTTTTCCACAAAAGCACTTTTTGCAGAAAAGCGTCTGTGCCAATCTAGACGCGGTTTTGCGCAAGAAAGCCCCGATTGCCATTTTCGTGATTGGGGCTTTTTTGCGCAAAACGATACCGCGTTGTCTACACTGGCCCTCTTGCACAAAAGCATTTGTGCAAGATGGTTTTTGCCCAAACGGGAGCAGCATAGCATTTCCGCAAGAAGCGCTGATTTCAGACAGGAGGAAGTCAGTGTTCTTGCGGAAATTCAAGCCCCCCCTGCCAGTCTAGACGCAGCCATTTAGTGGTGGATACTATGGGCACAGAATATTTGTAAAAGTCATACCTTTACATACATACATTATTTATTAATACTAAGGATGTTAGCGTATAGTCGAGTAAACAATAAACTGATAAGCCTAGGCATACTGGATAATCCTATCAACTACACCCACTCCGGCGGGGGAGAGTGGGAGTCAGTGCCCGTGAAGAGCTGGCTTTAAGCAGGCTCCCCACTAACACCAGATCTGCCTGCTCACTCACCCCATGCTGTTGCCTCTGATACAGAGGCAGCTGTGCAGAGGGTGAAGGGGGCAGGCGGGAGTTAAATACATACAGGGAGCAAGCTTTCAAGCCAGTTCCCAATGCATATCAGTTCCCATGGACCTGCCTGCCCTCCTTTTTGCTGCCTCCTATAGAGGCAGTGCAGGGCAGCAGGCAGCTGGTCCGCGAGGGAGCTGGTTTTTAAACTGGATCCCCTCACAGACCAGCTACTGTCTGCCATCTTGCACTGCTGCCTCTGATAGAGAGGGAGCTGAGTGGGGTGGCTGGGGTCTCCCTGGGAGTGGGGCTGAAGCATACTGGCTGCCAGCCCTGCCCCCGGGGAACTATCAAATAGCCAGGTCTTATCGGTTAATCCTGTATCAGAGGCAGCAAGGCGGGGGAGAGTGGGAGTCAGTGCCCGTGAAGAGCTGGCTTTAAGCAGGCTCCCCACTAACACCAGATCTGCCTGCTCACTCACCCCATGCTGTTGCCTCTGATACAGAGGCAGCTGTGCAGAGGGTGAAGGGGGCAGGCGGGAGTTAAATACATACAGGGAGCAAGCTTTCAAGCCAGTTCCCAATGCATATCAGTTCCCATGGACCTGCCTGCCCTCCTTTTTGCTGCCTCCTATAGAGGCAGTGCAGGGCAGCAGGCAGCTGGTCCGCGAGGGAGCTGGTTTTTAAACTGGATCCCCTCACAGACCAGCTACTGTCTGCCATCTTGCACTGCTGCCTCTGATAGAGAGGGAGCTGAGTGGGGTGGCTGGGGTCTCCCTGGGAGTGGGGCTGAAGCATACTGGCTGCCAGCCCTGCCCCCGGGGAACTATCAAATAGCCATGTAACTGATAATATTTTATGCGGTTACACAGCTATTCAATAACACGATATCTAACATCCCTAATTAATACAAGAAAGGCTAAATGCTAACCCAAAAACACTTATTACTCTGTTTTGTTTTGTTTTTTCAATTTGTTTTACACCAGTTTGTGGGCTTAAAATCTGATTTAGCTCTGCTGAAGCCAACATGAGTCCGTCCATCTACTTTAACAGATGCTGGATCAGACTCACAGACAGTAAATCATCCCCAGGATGAGGATATCTTTCAGTCACCATGCCTATTTAATCCTTGATTTTTCTGGCCAGACTGGCAACAAAGAACTTGGCCAGTAGGAACAGAGCCACTCTCTGAGATCTTGAGGTAGCAGAGTAGAAATCCTGCCGCTGTAGGTGTGGGGAGAGAAGGAAAATAAGAGCCCTGGAGAAGCAGGATGGAGCAGAAGAATAGGGCAGGGCAGGAGGGACAGCATTATAAAAGTTGATAGGCGGGGCTAGGGAACATTATACATTACAAATACTCTGAGAGAGTTGGCCCATTCATTACTCAATGAAAGGAAAAAAAATAACAGAAAATGTGGAAATAAAAGAGGTGCTTAATGAACTTCTCACTAAGAAAGTTGGAGGGAACTGTATGTATAAAAAAGTGAATGCCAGTGAAAATGAAGTAGGATCAGAGGCTAAAATAGGAAAAGAACAAGTTAAAATTACGTAGACAAATTAGATATCTTCAAGTCATGAGGGCCTGATGAAATTCATCCTAGATTACTCAAGGAGTTGGAAGGGATAACTGAAACATTTGTGATTTATCTTTGAAAAGATTCCAGAAAACTGAAAAGGGCAAATATAGTGCCCATCTATTAAAAAAGGGGAAATAAGGGCAACCTGGGGAATTACAGATCAGTCAGCTTAACTACTGTATTGGGAAAGATAATTGAACAAATAATTAAGCAATCAATTTGGATACATCTAGAAGCTAATAAGGTGATAAGCAGGGCTCGCCAGCTGTGCGGTTCTGCGATGTGCGCATGGGCAGAACGTTCTGCGCATACACAGATCACTCTGCGCCGGCTCTTCCAGAGTGTAATCTACTCGCCCCGGGCGAGTAGATTACACTATTTGTTGAGCCTTGGTGATAAATAACAGTCAGTATGGATTTGTCAAGAACAAATCATGTCAAACCAATCTTATAGCTTTGACAGGGAAACTAGTCTTGTGGATAGCAGGGAAGTGGTAAAGGAGGTATATCTTGACTTTTGAAAGTTTTTTGATACTGTCTCGCATGACCTTCTCATAAACAAACTACAGAAATGCAATCTAGTTGGAGTTGCTATAAGGTGGGTGCAGAACTGGTTGTAAAATGGTGCCCAGAAAGTAACCAGTAGTTCACAATCATACTGGAAGTACATAATGAGTGGGTCGCTCATTCTGTTCAATATCTTCATCAATGATTTAGATAATGGCATAGAGAGTACACTTATAAAGATTGATGATGAGACTAGCAGGGAGAGACTGCAAGTGCTTTGGAGGATAAGATTAAAATTCAAAATGATCAGGGCAAAATAGAAAACAGTCTGAAGTAAACAGGATGAAATACAATAAGGCCACTTAGGAAGGAACAATCAGTTGCACTCACACATACAAAATGGGAAATGACTCTGCCTAGAAAGTAATACGGAAAAGGATCTAGGGGGCATAGTGGATCACCAGCTAAATATTAGTAAATAGTGCAACACAATTGCAAAACAAGAAAACATAATTTTGGGACATATTAGCAAGAGTGTTGTGAGCAAGATATGAGAAGTAATTCTTCCTCTCCACTCTGCACTGATTAGACTTCAACGGGAGTACAGGCAGTCCCCGAGTTACGCGGATCCAACTTACGTTGGATCCGCAGTTATGAACGGGGCTTTTCTCGCCCCAGAGGACGGGAGCGGCGGGATGCCCAGATGCGCCGTGGTCCCACCGCCCCCGTCCTCCGGGGCGAGAAAAGCTGCTCCCCGTCTCCCTGGTCTGCAGGGAGATGGGGAGCAAAGCCTTGGAGCACGCCCGCAGCGGGACAGCCCGGGCGCGCTTGAGCTGTCCCCGTGCGGGCATGCTCCGCGGCTTTGCTCCCGGTCTCCCGACCAGCAGACCAGGGAGATGGGGAGCAAAACCTCGGAGCATGCCCGCAGTGGGACAGCCGCGGCGCGCCTGGGCTGTCCCCCTGCCCGCGTGCTCTGCGGCTGTACTCCGCGTCTCCCCGGTCCGCA